CGGCGAGCCGCGGGGGCCTCTGGGAAGAGTTAGCTGCGTCTAACGGACCTGGGCTGGTGCTGCCCACCGCCACAGTCGGCGCTGACCTGAGTGGCACCCCTCACTCGGGCCGCACCGGCTGTGCCTTTCGGGCGGTGTTGAGGTGTGGAACTGGGGCCTGTGTCTGCGGGCTCGTTGGTGAGTCTTCGGGAAGCCACGAGCTCAGAGTCCGGGACTCTTTGTGCTGGGTGGAGCAGGGGCCTGCGGCCCACCGGGTGCCTGTGTTGTTGGAGGAAGACGCCGGGCAGGGGCGGCGGGTTCCCTGAGGCCGTGGGAGTGGAGGGTGAAAAACTGAGCGTGTGACTCGATAGGACTTTATTTTCTAGACATTTGTCCGTGACTCATGTGGCCGTGGAGTCGTGTGTGGAGGCGGATTTTGTGGATGTGTTTTTTCCTTTTCTCATTCCATATGAATGTGGCTTCGAACTACGAAGCCTGTTGGTGATTTGTGAGACTGTACCAGTGCTTCGTTTCTTTGGTTATGGTCATCGTAAATATGTTTTTCTGTTAGACATCAGTAGCCCCAACACGTTGTCTTAGTATTTGTTTCAAATTTCATTTTCGTGTATTCGCCACATTTTGTGTGCTTAGTAATAACTTCATGCTCCTTGCCCCCTACTCCCAGCCCCAATTCACAAAATAAAGAAAAGCTCCAAGAAAACAAGAATCATTCATACTTCTGCCAGCCACTATCAAAATTTATTTCCCATCTTTTCATTCCCCGTGAATATATGCACAGTAGCTTGAAAGTTGGAATCACACTGTACATACAATTGTCTAGTCTACCTATGGCGTTTAACAATGTGCAATTAATACTTTTACATTTAAACACACATCTATGTCATCATTTAACAGATTTTTTATGGTATACATATTAATGCATTTACTCTTGTTGATGGGTAATTTGGTTCTTTTCAACTTCTTGCCATTGTAAAGAATGTGTTTATTAGCAACTGTTTGGCACATGTTATGATGCACTTTATTAATTTTCGGGGGACAGGGGGCAGGCTCTTAGAAGTGGAACTGACAGTTGAAGTGTATCTGCTTATTAAAAACTACCTGTGTTTGTGCTAAGTCGCTTCAGTCATTTCATGACTCTGTGCAATCCTTTGGACTGCAGCCTACCAGGCTCCTCTGCCCATGGATTCTCCAGGCAAGAATACTGGAGTGGGTTACCATGCCCTCCTCCGGTGGGTCTTCCCAACCTAGGGATCGAACCTGTGTCTCTTAGTTCTACCTGCATTGGCCGGTGGATTCTTTACCACTAGCGCCACCTGGGAAGTCCAAAGACTCCCTAATTCTATCCAGTTATTCTCTGGTAAGGTTCCATATGGTCAAGGCTATGGTTTTTCCAGTGGTCATGTATGGATGTGAGAGTTGGACTGTGAAGAAAGCTGAGCACCAAAAATTTGATGCTTTTGAACTGTGGTGTTGGAGAAGACTCTTGAGAGTCCCTTGGACTGCATGGAGATCCAACCAGTCCATCCTGAAGGAGATAAGTCCTGGGTGTTCATTGGAAGGACTGATGCTGAAACTGAAACTCCAGTACTTTGGCCACCTGATGCGAAGAGTTGACTTATTGGAAAAGACCCTGATGCTGGGAGGGATTGGGGGCAGGAGGAGAAGGGGACGACAGAGGATGAGATGGCTGGATGGCATCACTGACTCGATGGGCATGAGTTTGAGTGGACCCAGGAGTTTGTAATGGACAGGGAGGCCTGGCGTGCTGTGATTCATGGGCTCTCAAAGAGTCAGACACGGCTGAGCGACTGAACTGAACTGAAGGTTCCATCTAACCTACAGTATTATTGGCATAGTATCAGATTGCCTGTATTTATACACCCTTGATAACAGTGTTTATCATTAATATTAGTAATCTTTGTTAATCTCATAGATGTAAAATAATTCCTTTAATTTGCAGTTATTTGATTACTATTGAAGTCAACCATTTTAAAAACAATTTTTTTTTTGTAAATTATGTGTTTTCTAAGTTATTTTTCTAAAGCAATGTTCTGTTTTCAAATTTCCAGGTTCTTCAGGTATTATGGATTTATTCATTCATCTACTCACCGTTTATTGAATGCTGCATGTGACAGGAATTAAAAGATGCTTGAGATATAGCACTGAACAAAGTAGACAGATTCTGCTATCATGGTACTTAAATTGTTGTGGGTCAGATAATAAGTGAGGTAAGTAAATTTAATATAACATACATTACATAGTGAAAATTTCTAAGAAGTAAAGAAGGAGAATATATAGAATCAGGGATAGGACTTGGAGTTTTAGGTGGGGTAACTAGAAATGCATCCTGAAAATGTAATAATAAAGATATGAAGGAAATTAGGAGCTAATTATGCACAGCACATGCATATAATTAAGGGAAGAGGGACCACCAGTTAGAAAAGCCCAGGTGGAAATATGCCTATTACCAAGAGGCTAGGGTGGCTGAAATAGAGCAGATAAGAGGGAGAGTAGTGAGAGATTAGAGAAGAAAGGTAATTGAAGGGCTGGAGGCCAGATCAGGTTGGTCCTTGTGGGCCATGTTAATGATCTTGACTTTTACTCAGAATGAGGTGGAAAGCTATGGGAGAGTTTTGAACATGTGTGTGATATTATCTGCTTATGATTTAAGAGGATTGCTTTGGTTGGTCTGAGGAGAGGATTAGGGGAAGAGGACAAGGACAAGGGAAGAAGTAGAAAGACCAGTTAGGAAACTATTGCATTAATCTAGGGAAGAGATGTTGGTGACCTGGATGAGAGTAGTAAAAATGGTGAGAAGTAGTCATGTATGGCAATTTGCTGACAGAACTGATGTGGTGTATAAGTGTGACAGGATGACACAGTATTTTTTAATCTGAGCAATTTGAAGATTGGAGTTATTACTTGAGAAAGGAAAGAAGGTAGGAAAAACCTGGGGCATAGGGAAATAGTGAGATTTCAGTTTGGAATATTATATGTGAAGTATGAGGTGCCCATTGGGTATTTAGGTGGAAATATTAAGTTGGCAGTGGGATATACAAGTCTACAGTTCTAAAGAAAGGTCTCAGATTGGAGACATATACTTGGCAGTTATTAGCATGTAGGTGATACACACGTGCATGCATGTGTGCTCAGTCATCTCCAATTCTTTGTGACCCCGTGGACTGTAACCCGCCAGGCTCCTTTGTTCATGGAATTTTCCAGGCAAGAATACTGGAGTGGGTTGCCATTTCCTACTTCAGGGGCTATTCCTGACCCAAGGATCGAACTCCTGCTGCTCCTGCATTGGCAGGCAGATTCCCAGGCACGATACCACCTGGGAAGCCCCTTTTAGGTGACATTTACAACCAGATTGGATGAGATCACTTGGTAGAGTAGCTGAAAAATGATAGAGGTAAAGGACTAATCTTTGGGTCACTTCAACATGACAGAGTCTGGGAAATGAGAAGGAATCAGCAAAAGAGACTGAAAGGGACCAGCTAGAATGATTGAGAGAGAACTCGGTGATATCCTGGAAACTGAGGGAAGAATGTGTTTTAATGAAAATTGTCAGATGCAGCTGATAGCCCAAGCAAAAGAGGACTGAGGAAGTAACATTGAATTTAGCAACATGAAAATTGTTGGTCACCCTGCAAAGCAGTTTCAGTGAAGTAAGGACCTATAGAGAAAACTGGACAAGAAAAATTGGTGATAACAAGTGTAAACAACACTTTAAGTTTTTTCCCTTAATGGAAGGAATGAAATGGAGTGGTAGGTGGAGTTAGGAGGTAAATAATAACCCTGTTCATATACTGAGTGAAATGATTCAACAGAGAGAGAAACTTGATAAAGGAGGAAAGGGGAGAAATGCTATAGACATCTCCTTAAATGTAAGAACAAACGTTAGGGTTTGAGGATAAAGGAAAAGAATAAAATAATCACTTAGGAGAGTGGGACAGAGAATAGAGAAATATAATATGATTTCCAGACAGTATTGAAGACCTACTTGCTGTTTTCGTGAATTTAAATTGAGCCTATTCAACGTGGTTGTTTGATTTTTTCCTTCTGCACTGTTCATATGCATGGTTGTCACCACAGATAGGGGAGGGGAGAGTAAAATTTAACCAGAGTTGTTGGTTTCATGAAGTAAGAAAGAATGATGTGAGAGAAAGGGGCAAGGGAGTCTAAGCAAGAATTAATTATACTAATTGACCGTGGATTCAAGGCCAGGTAAGTAGAAAAGTGGTGGGAAGAGGGTGAGGGAAAATGAAAAATTGTGTAATGAAGGACTGGAAGTTCCTGATGGTGGTGAAAAGTGGTTGAGTTGAAATGTGAGAGGAAGTAGGGTGGAAAGACAAGGATATTTTTCCCTTTAGTTGCCACATGTTCAAAATAGGACAATCCCTCTTTTTATCACCATACTTGTTTTAGAAAATGTGGAATATTGTTAGCTATATAAGAATTTGTTGTTTTCTGTGTAAATAGTTAAGTCAATAATTGTAGTCGCTGATATAAAGTATGCTTGTGTATGTATGCATGCATGCATGCTAAGTTGCTTCAGTCATGTCCAACTCTTTGCGACCCTGTGGACCATAGGCCGCCAGCCTACTCTGTCCATGAGATTCTCAAGGCAAGAACATTGGAGTACATTGCCATGCCCTCCTCCAGGGGACTGAACTGATCCAGGGATCGAACCTGAGTCTCTTACATCTCTTGGATTGGCAGGCAGGTTCTTTACCACTAGTGCTGCCTGGGAACCCCTTCTCTGATACAGAGCTATTGATAAGTTCATGGGGCATCTCCTACGTACGCACCTCTATTCTTGTTCACCGAATATGCTTAAGCTCTCCATGATATAGTAGTCATCTTTATACCTATCAGCATCTTTGGGGAATGTATATTCTTGGCCTTTCTGATTGCTCCAAGTATCATTTTGCTATAGAGTGACCTTTAATCTACCTTGTGGGTACAGGTTTCTCAAACCACAAAGCAAACCTTGTCTCATGGCTTTTATTCTCTTTTTCAGCTCTGCCTTCTCAGGCCCAGTCCATTCCCAGAAAGAAGAGGAAATGAATGAATTCCAGGTAAATTTTAAATAGCATATTTGTTCCCTGCCTTATTTTATAGAGCAGTTTACGGGAATTGTAGTAATCCATACACTAAACTGGAAAATCCTATACAGATAAAACGTATTTTCAGAGGAAACAGAGTTGGAAGATTAAGACCAGGAAAGTTAAAATATGATTATGCAGAATTGTATTCATTTAGAGAGATTAAAGTTGGGCTTCAGTTTTGAATTTCATTACTATAGGTAAACAAGAGCAGAAATTCATTATATATTTAAGTAAGTTTTTTATTGGCACCTAGGTCAATCAATATATTATAATATATATAGGGAGACTTTCTGCAGTTGGTGAAACAGCTTTTCAGATAGTCCGGGGTTTTCTGTATAATTAAAAAAAAAAAATTTTGGCTGTGCTGCATGGCTTGCAGGATCTCAGTTCCCTGACCAGGGATTGAACCCAGGCCACAGCAGTAAAAGTGTTGAATCCTAACCACTAGACCACCGGGAGGTGGTCTGTTTTGATCAAGGATAAAGCAAAGAATATATGTTAAATTATCCCAGCATTGGAAATAACACAAATCAACATCAACAGAAAAAGAGATAGTATTTCATGCAGTGGGATAGTACACACACACACACATTCTCTCTCTTCATGCAGTGGGATAGTGTACACACACACACCAAAACAGATTACTGCAATTTACAACAGTATGGATAATCTCACAAACATGTGACATGAAAGAAGCCAGACGAGAGTACATTCTGTGTGGTACCATTTATATGAAGTTTGAAAACTGAGAAAACTAATCTCAGTGTTAGGGAATAGTGGTTACTGAGCAGGTATTTACTGGGACAGGATATGAGAGAATCTTCTAGTATGCTGAAAATGTTCTATATTTTGACCTGACTGATGGGTACACAAATACGTAAATGTATAAAAATGTCTCAGTTTGTATATTTAAGATTAGTGCATTTTACCACATTATTCTATGTATGTCATACCTCATTTAAAAATAAAAAACAGACTATCTGAAGAAATAGATGGGATGTGCCTTTCAAATGACCCTATATAATTATCTTTTTCCATGTATGTTTGCTGTGATTTGACCACAATCTAAAGTAATCATTTATGGTAAATTCTTACACTTTCAATCCACTAGAATGTGAACAGAGTATAAATTTTACTTGGTTTACTGCTGTATCTACAGCCCCTAGAACAATGCCTGGTATACCTGGTTTTTGTGAATGTGGTTGTAATGAATCCATGGTTCCTTATTTCTTCATTTTACTCTTAGAGTAAGCAGTGTCTGTTTCCTCTTCAAGGACATTTCCTCAGAACTTCATCCTTTTTCTTCAAACTTCCTTTGGAATCTTTCTCTTTCAGATTTTCCTGTACTCTTAGCTACTAAACATATTTCAATTTACTGCCTTTTTACTCTCAGCTCAAAGCTTTGCTTTACTGCAATATACCTTTCTTTGACCAGGTGCCCCTATCTCACAGCTTCTCTGTATGTCTAGTTTTTCCCTCAGTTAATTTTCAAAGTGAACACACATGTGTAGCCAGCATAAGCACTGGATCAAGAAATATAATATTACCCTAACACCCATTGAACTCCTGCATCTTTCAGAGTTATTACCCCTACTCCAGGGGTAACCACTGTTTAGCTTATATCACTATAGATTATTTCTGCATATTTTTAAACTGTATGTAACCTGTGTACTTGGTGTCTGACTTCTTTTGTTTAATATTTTTTCAGATTTATGTTGAATTGCTGCATGTAAGCTGTAGTTCACTAAACTTTATTACTGTATATTATTCAATTATATGAATAAACCATAATTTTATATATCCATTCCATTATTGATTGGCTTTAGGTAATTTTTATTTGGGAACAATTAAAATATTGTTCCTGTAAACTTTCTATTAGATTTTTTTGCACATATGTACATATCTCTTTCTACCAAAGTAGAATTGCTGAGTCATAAGTTATGTGTAAGATTACCTTTTAATGATACTGCCAAACAGTTTTCCAAAGTGGTTGTCCAAAATTATACCCTTAACAGTGTATGAGAGTTCTTAGTTACTCCAAGACAACAACATCTTGAGTGTATTTTCTATGGTCACTAGATTGTTTTTTGATATAATGTCAAACTCATAGGTAATAAAACAGAAGCTCAACTAAATTTGAGTACATAAAAATTACATTCTTCTGTTGATACAATCACCATAAATAAAGTAAATTTGCAAAACCTAACAGCAATTTTAGTAATATATATGACAGACCAAATCTGGTATTTAAATATTTACAAACTAAATTAAAATCCAATAGAAAATTGCATATAAGACATGAAAAAAAATCCACAATTGAAAAGAAGAAATGCCCAATATAAACTGTAAATAATAATATCTATTGTTAATCAAAGTTTTACATGGATTACCTTATATAGTCTTCATAAAGAGTCTCTCTTTCCAAAAAAAAAAAGAATCTCTCTTTCCTATTTGTTTATGTTTTCATTTATTTCCCTCAACTAGTATGTAAGTTCCAGGAGGACAAGAACTATGTCTATCTTCCAGCTATATCCTGGGACTCTAAACCAGTGCTGGGCATATCTAGTAACTCAATAACTTACTGAATAAAAACCTATAACTCTAGGGCTCAAATGTGAATTATTTTCTCATTCTCTTTAGTGGCAGTTAATATTCATAATGAAAACCTCAACTACTATGAAGCCCTCAAATCGTCTCTGAGCTATCAAAAAACAAAAAAAAAAGGTTCAGTTGTTTAATTCTCTGGTTCTACTACTTTAACATATAGAAGAAATAGGCTGAGATTTCAGTGGTATTGCAGAGACTGAATCAAATGAACTTGTTGATACATTGTACCTAGGTGTTGTAGAAGAATTATGAATACCATATGAAAAACATATGCTACAGTTCCATTTTTGGAAAAAGAGGGTTAGTGTTGTTATTAAGAAAGGTAAGAAAGTTAATGGCAAAAACTGCTGAGTATTATGTTACTTCTCACAAACCTAATAAGGAATAGGTATATGTTACCTGAAATAATGTATGTGTTACCTAAAATAGTGAGCTATTTCACTGCTAACTGGATTCTAAGTAGTAAATAAACATGATAATGAGAAAAGCAAAATTTTCTGTTAAAAAAGATTATTTTTACAGTCTGTCATAAAATCCAGGATACATGAAAGAATCTCATCATTTTCCTAACTGTTCCTTTTTCTATTGAGAATGATTAACTCTTAAAAGAGAAAAAATATCTATTCCAACATTTTCATTTTATAGATGGGAGCTTTTGATCCAGAGAAATTTTAAATATTGTTTAAGGAAAGCCATATCATGCAGGTTTTTTTTTAAAAAGATAAAGGCTATTTTTTAACATCAGGTAATACAACATTCAAGATATAAGGTTTATTTTTTTAATTGAAGTATAGTTGATTTAGTGTGCTTACTTATGCTGTAGACTCAGTTATACACATATATACATTCTTTTTTTAAATGTTCTTATTTTCTTAATGAGTTTTTGGAACTCCAAGTCCTAGGTTCTCTTTGGATGAAAACTCCATACGTGAGACACTGTGTGTGCATGCTCAGTCATGTCTGACTCTGCGACCCCATGGACACTATAGCCCTCCAGGCTCCTCTGTCCACGGAATTTTCCAGGAAAGAATACTGGATTGGGTTGCCATTTCCTTCTTCATAAACATTGTTTTTTAAATATTCTTTTCCATTATGGTTTATTGCAGGAGATTGGATATAGTTTCCTGTGCTGTATATAGTAGGACCTTGTTGTTTATCCATTCTAAGTGGAATAGTTTGCATCTGCTGTCCCCAAACTTTTTGTCCATCCCTCTTCCTCCCCTGCTACCCCTTGACAACCACTGGTCTGTTCTCTATCTGTGTGTCTGTTTCTATTTTGTAGATAAGTTCATTTATGCCATATTTTAGATTCCATGTATAAATGACATCATATGGTATTTGTCTTTCTCTTTCTGACTTAGTATGATAATCTCTAGTTGCATCCATGGTGGTGCAAGTGGCATTATTTTATTATTTTTTATGGATGAGGAGTATTCCATTGACTATGTACCATATCTTCTATCCATTCATCCAAGACAGTAAGCTTTAAACAAACAAAAAGAATGTTACTTTAAAATGCCAGTTAGAAAAATAAATAAATAAAATGCCAGTTAGTGCATTAGATAATAAAGATATATGGTTAGGACTACTCCTGCATCAAACTGCATAAAATTTATTATAAGGAATACTGTGAAAAATAAGAAACATATTAGTAGGAAACTTTTATTGATCTGTCTTAGCTCATGATAGACACATAGACAACAAAATGAACATAACTTCTAATAATAATTTGATAGAGCTAATTGATTGTCATAGCTTATAGCCTGGAAACAATATCCCCTTTTTAGGTATGGAAAAACTAAAAGACTGACCATATATTAGGCCCAAATAAAGTTCAATAAATTTCAAAGTACAAACTGTATATATTCCACAATGCAATTACATAGGAAGTTAATAATAAAACTTCAGAAAGAAAACATTTCCACATGGAAATTTTAAAATTAGCATAAGGAACTTAGATCAAGAAAAACAGAATTTAAGATCATGATTCAGACCCTAATACCCTAACCATAGTTAATCTTTTTTTTTTTTTATACTTAAGCTGGAAAAATAGCCAGTAGTGGCTTGAGAATAGGATGGTCTCAGCATGAATGCAGTAGTAGAACTAAAGATAGAACAGTTGGAGATGGTTTATCAATGACGCTTCTCATAGCTGGTTCTCCTGAAGGAGATCTAGGAGCATATTTTCATGGCTGCCACAAAAATAGCACTTTGAAAAGTTCTCTTTCTGGCATGAGCATTTATCTGTCTTAATAGATTTACCTAGTGTTATTGACTGTCTGACAGAAATCTTACATAACAGTTGCTTAAACAGGACAGAATTTTGTCTTTGTAGGAATTAGGTACCTTAAACAAAACAAAACAAAATGAAAACACTTGTCCTGTATCTCTAAGGCACAGGGAACCAGGATTCCTCTATTTCATTTTTCTATGTGTTGACCAGCATCTTCCCATTACCCCCACTTCTCAGCCCATGGCAACCACCATTCTATTCTCTACTTCTATAATTTAGACTTTTCAAGATTCTACATATAAGGGATATCATAGTATTTTCTTTCTTCATCTGACATGCCCTGACATGTCTATCCATGGGGTTGCCAATTGCAGGATCCCATCTTTCTCATGTCAGAGTAATACTGCATTGTATATGTATGTATTACCTCTTCTGTATGCATTCATCTGCTTTTTGGTCTCTGCTTTTTAATACACTCTCTAGGTTGGTCAATAGCTTTTCTTCCAAGTAGCAAGCGTCTTTTAATTTCATGGCTGCCAGTCACTGTCTGCAGTGATTTTGGAGCCCAAGAAAATAAAATCTGTCACTGTTTCCACTGTTTTCCCATCTATTGGCATGTAGTGATGGGATCAGATGCCCTGAGCTTCGTTTTTTGAATGTTGAGTTTTAAGCCAGCTTTTTCACTCTCCTCTTTCACTTTCATCAAGAGGCTCTTTAGTGCCTGTTTACTTTCTACCATAAAGGTGGTGTCATTTGCGTATCTGAGGTATTGATATTTCTCCCGGCAATCTCGATTCCAGCTTGAGCTTCATCCACCCCAGCATTTCACATGATGTACTCTTCATGTAAGTTAAATAAGCCAGGTGACAATATACAGCCTTGATGTACTCCTTCCCCAATTTTGAAACAGTTCATTGTTCCATGTCTGATTCTAACTGTTGCTTTTTGACCTGCATACAGGTTTCTCAGGAGGCAGGTAAGGTGGTCAGTATTTATTATTTTATTTTTTAAAAAAATAATTTCTGAAACTAATTTCTGGCTGTGCTGGGTCTTCATTGCTGCATGGGCTTTTCTCTAGTTATGGCAAGTGGAGGCTACTGTCTAGTTGCAGTATGTGGGCTTCTCATTGCAGTGGTTTCTCTTGTTGCAGAGCACAGGCTCTAGAGAGTGCAGGCTTCATTAGTTGTGGCACATGGACTCAATAGTTGCAGCTCCTGGGCTCTAGAGCACAGGCTTAATAGTTGTGGCACATGGGTTTAGTTACTGTGAGGCATGGCATATGGGATCTTCCTGGATCAGGGACGGAACCCATGTCTCCTGTATTGGCAGGCGATTCTTTACAACGGAGCCACCAGGGGAGCTCCAACAATATTAATTCTTTTGATCCACGAACGTGGAATATCTTCTCACTTATTTGTATTCTCTTCAGTTTCCTTCATCTCCTCGGTTAAATTTATTGCTAAGTATTTTTGCTGTTTCCGATACTTTTGTGAATGCAAGCATGTGTGCATGTCAAGTCATGTTTGACTCTTTCTGACCCCATGGACTGTAGCCTATCAGGCTCCTCTGTCCATGGGATTCTCCAGGCAAGAATACTGGAGTGGGTTGGCATTTCCTCCTCCAGGGGATCTTCTTGACCCAGGGATTGAACTCGCATCTCTTATGTCTCCTGCTCACTATTGTGAATGGGATGGTTTTATTTCTTATTCAGATATTTTCTTGTTAGCGTATACAAACAGAGCTGATTTCTGTCTATTGATTTTGTATCCTGCAACTTTACTGAATTTTTTGGTTTGTTCTAACAGTTTTTTGTTGGTGATTTTAGGATTTTCTGTATATAAGATCATATCATCTTAAAAAGACTTTTCATCTTGCTTTCCTATTTGGATGTATTTTTTTCTTCCTTGTCCTGAGTGCTCTGGTTAGGATTACTCATACTACATTGAATAGGATTGATGAGAGTACCTTGGTCTTGTTCTGGTCTTAAAGGAAAAGTTTTCAACCTTTTACCATTGGGTATGATGTTAGTTATTGGCTTATCATATATTGCCTGATTTATGTTGAGCTACATTCCTTCTATACTCAATTTGTTGAGAGTTTGTATCACAAAAGGATATTGTATTTTGTCAAATGCTTTTTCTGCCTCTGTTGAAATGATCACATAATTTCTTTCTATTAATGTATCACATGTATAGATTTGCATGTGTTGAACCATCCTTGCATCCCCGAATTAAATCCTTCTTGATCATGGTGTTTTAACATGCTGTTGACTTTACTTTGCCTATATTTTGTTGAAAATTTCTGCATCTACATTCATTAGAGACACTGGCCTATAGTTTTCTTTTCTTTGCAGTGTCCTATCTCCCTTTGGTATCAGGGTAATGTTGATCTTGTAAAATGAGCTTGAGCATGTTCCCTTCAGTGCAACTTATTTTTTTGTGTGAAAGATTGAGAAAGATTGGCATCTATTCATCTGTAAATGATTGGTAAAACTCATCAGGGAAGCCATCTAGTTTTTGGCTTTTCTTTTTTGGAGGGAGAGGAGGATTTTCTTTATTGAAAGATTTTAATTACTGATTCAGCTCCTTACTCATATCTGTTCTGATCTATTTCATGGTTCAATCTTGGTAGGTTGTATGTTTCTAGGAATTTATCCATTTGTTCTAGGTTATCCACTTTGTTACCATATAACTGTTCATAATAGTCTCTCATGGTCATTGTATCTGTGGTATCTTTCAGATATCACATGCCCCCTCTTTCATTTTATTTATTAGACTCCTCTTTTTCTTCTTGATGGTGTCCTTAACACAGTTAGTACTATCTGCTTCTCTGTAATGTCCTCTGAGAGTGTTATCTGCTGCTCTCTCAGACTTTTCAAAAGCTCAAAATTCAGTATGCTGGATATGATGAGAGAAAAATGATCCTCTTTGGCACCATCCCATATAGCTGAGAAAGCAGGGTACTCACACATTTTTACTTTCCTTCGTGAATGAAATCATGGGCCAGGATTTCTCTTGGCCCTAAGCTATGTTGCCTTAATGGAGGAGTGATGTAGATAAAAGTCAAACTGTTCCTCTTACCCTTTCGTATGAGTCCAGACTTATATTTTTTGCTTCATTGGTGCACTGGAAATTCTTTGCTGGAGACTTGCACTTTCACAAAGTCTGTCTTTTGTTGAGTGCTTGTCTCAGACAGTCATTTTCTGGGGGCTCCTGAAGTGGCCAAAAGAGGCTAGAGTCAGTTCACATGCCTCTCAGGGATCTACAGCAAGAACTGAGGTCTTTTATGCTTATTTTTCAACATTTGGGTAGGCAAGACTCCTTCTGTGTCCCTTGCATATGGTGCTGGATCCCACCATTCCCACAAGGGCACTTTCATCCATGGATGGATGCCAAAGTATTGTTTTTGCAGCAGGGACTGAATGAGGGATGTCTTACTTAGCCATGATTGCCTTTGGTTTCTTAAGCCTGATTATTTACAAGTCCTTGCTCTTCAGTAGGAAGGGCTCCAAAACAGGAGTTTCCATTATTCTCACAGCATACTCTGAAGCTTAGTGAATGTTCATGTTCCTAGAGTCCGTTTAGGACCTAGAAATTAATAATCAGAAACATTTTTTGTGAGTTTGCTCCTGGTGATTTCCTTTTATCTTACCCCATCTGCCACAGAAATTCCTGAAAGTGTAGGAAATACAGACAGCTCCCTTTGTTCCAGTGCTGTTTTTCTTACGTTTATATTTTTGGGGTATTTTGGGTTTTAACTAGGAAAAGTGCATTTGATTTCTATGTCTAAATCACACTGCTTTGAAGAAATTTGTCACCATTCCTCATTTCTGACACTTTAAATCTTTCTTGGTATTATTTTCTCATAGTTCTGGTTGTAATTCAGATTTAAAATTTTTAAATTCTAAAATTTAAATCCATTTAAAAAAACTTCATTAACAAATCTTTTTTTCTATATCTTTTGGTATTTGTAGGATTCTGTTTGTGGCACTCTTTTTTCAGTATATGTGAACTCTGCAATTTTCATGGCTGCAGACACGTAGGCTTGTGAACAATAAATATTCATTTTCAATTTAGATTTCTTCTGACCTAATGAACAATATGTGCAACTGCTAAATCAATGAATATCTCCAGTGGATGTCTTACTATGCTTCAAAGTTTGTATACCATTCTCTCCCCTTTTCTGCTTCTATCCAAAACCTATTTTCATGTGTTAGTGAATCACAGGGATCTAGTGAGTTCCCAAACCAGTTAACTTTGAGTGAAGTTTTATATTCCCCCAGTTTTTACAGTCAGTATAAATCGGTACCCAAGATCTCTTTAACCCAAAGTAGTTATTAAAGATATGTGCTTGCTGAATCAATGAATGAACATAAACTGACAGGATATTGCTAAAATGATTTTTTTCTTTCAGACAGTAACAAAAACAGATAAAATTTATTTTATAATCCCTTACCTTTGTGTATTACCTGAACAAGTTTCAATATATTTTGTCCACAACATATAAGGTGGATGACTTCAGATTGAGTGGGAGTATGTTGTTACAGGACACGGTGACATTCAAAGATGTGGCTATTGATTTCACTCAGGAAGAGTGGCAGCAATTGGATCCAGCTCAAAGGAACCTGTACCGGAATGTGATGCTAGAAAACTATAACAACTTAATCACAGTGGGTAAGGGTATTTTCCTATAAAACTCAAATTCTGGGAGTAAAGTTCCTTTTTTCCCTGCCACAGTGTTTCTGAAATGTGTGGAATCTTCAAATGTTAGACTGAGTTTGGTCTTTAGATGCCTTTGCTCACATGCACATGCATGCTGCAGCTTTCAAAGCAAAATGTCATGTCATCTATGGTTATGTTTCAGGGGGCAGCATCCCTAGAAACAATGCTTTTCTTATCCTTCAGAAAACCTTCAGCTAGCCTCAATTCTTGAATGATTCTTTTTTCCTACTATTTATGCCCAAATCTTACATCCCTTCCCTTTGACAGGATGTCCATTCACCAAACCTGATGTGATTTTCAAGTTGGAGCAAGAAGAAGAACCATGGGTCATGGAGGAAGAAGTGTTAAAGAAATGCTGTCCAGGTTAGTGAGAGGGAACCATACAGGTGAGGAAGGGCCAAGGCCCCTTAATAGCTAATATGTAAGTTCTTGATCCCTCTGAAATATTCCACCAAGGTATTTTTTTTTAAGGCCATAGAATTCCGTACTGACGATTGGTGTGAATTTTTTATATATGTAAGATGTCATTTTTGAAACTTTTTTTTGAAAATTCACATTTTTGCTTTGAACTTAAATATCCTAAGTCTGTCACGCTTTGAAGTCAGTGGTACACTGGTTTCATAAGATTTAGAAGCTTTCCTTCACATTCTTCACAATCTGTATAAAATTACTCATTGTGTTATCTTCTTATTTATGTCTTCCATTAATTCTGCAGCATTCTCAGCATCATCAAATATTAGCTCTCATTCATTGTCTTAACACTCTACTACTGAAACTCAGATAGATCCTAGACCTTTTTATTTTTTCCTCCATATTTTTAAATCTCCTATTTTCTTCCTTTGTAGCTCTCTGTTGCTTTCTCAGTAATTACTTTAAATGTATCTTCCAGTTTACTAATTCTCTCTTCAATTGTGTTTATTTTTAACTCATCCACCTTTTAAAAAAAATTATTTATTTTTGGCTTTGCTGGTTCTTTGTTGCTATGCATGGGCTTTCTCTATTTGTAGCAAGCAGGGGCTACTCTCTAGTTGTGGCGCACAGGTTTCTTATTGCAGTGGTTTCTCTTGTTGCAGAGAACAGGTTCTAAGTGCACAGGCTTAAGTAGTTGAGGCACATGGGCTCAGTAGTTGTGGCTCTGGTGCTCTAGAGCTTGGGCTTATTAGTATTGTGCCACACAGCTTTATTTGCTCTGCAGCATGTGGGATCTTCCTGGACTAGGGATTGAATCCATGTCTCCTGCACTGGCAGGTGGATTCTTTACCACTGAGCCACCAGAGAAGCTTAACTTATCCACCTTTGAAAAAAACTTTTAGTATAAGTATTTAGTATTTTTAGAAATTTCTTTTGTTTTTGCAAAAATTTCTCACATCTTTCTGATTCTTCCTAATAATTTTTGTGGCTTCTTCAGATTTGTGTTTTAATTTTTGCTTCTTTAAAAATACTGTACATAGCTCTTTTGTATTCTGTCCCTCACAGTTCCAGTATTTTAAGTCCTCAGGTTTAAATGTCCTGTTTTTGAGGACTCAGTGTGTTTTGATTCTTCATGTGCTTGATGGTAGCTGATTCCAATTTGAGTTTTTTAAAATCTTAACTTATGATAATCTTCCTGTCCTAAATTGGGTTGCTTCCTTCTGAAGATGATTTACATGTGCTTCTGGTGGGCACCAAGAGGCGTCTCCAAGTGAGGATCAGTTCTTTGAAGGTCCTGGCTTTTGGTAGGAACCTCAGTTGAACTTTTCTTCTTTATTGATAGCAAGAGCCTTATACTTTACTTAATAAGGCTTTTCATAGGTACTCACATCAGATCCATCTTCAGGCTGCTTTCAGTTCTGCTACCTCTCAGTCGTGGTTTTGGCTAATACTTGGTTTTGTTTTGTTCATTTTGTGTGTGTGTATAGTGCTCAGGTTGTTGGAGAATACTGCAGTGTTCTTGGAGATTTAGGCTACTTCCTGTAAGCCCAGTAATGCTTCAAAATTTCAGTTTTATCCACTGTCTAGTTTTGCAAATGAGGTTACCGTGTTGTAATTTCAATGTTAAAAATCCTTATGTAGTCTGTCTCTTTTATTCCCCCGTCTTGCATGGTGTTTTTTGTTTTGGGTAGTTTTATTTTTCTCTTTATTTCTTTCTTGGTTCTGCTGGTTAATATTTTTTTAGCCCTTTTTGTTTTTTCATTGTTTCTTCCTCATGCATTTGTATTTCTATAAATATCTTTCTATATTTCTAGCTCTTGATTTATACCTGGTATTTTCACTAAGTTTTTTCATTGATGGCAATAGTCAGTCAAGATTTTCATTCTGTATGTCATAATTGCTTTAGCTTGAATTTTTGGCTGCTTTCTTTATAGCATGTTTCTTTTTTTCTTTTCTCTTAGATTTTTTAAGAGATCTGATTTCAATATCTTCTCATTTTTGAGTGAGAATAGTTCTTTCTTGACCTGATTTTTAAAGAAGTATAATGTTAGGAAAGGAAAGACAGTTCTCAGATCTAGAGCACAAATCTGCAAACAAAACTGCAAACTTTCTTTTCTGAGGTAGAAAGTTCTCAGATTTAGAGCACAAACCTGTTGACCAGCCACTTGTTTTTGTAAATAAAGTTTTATTGGAATAAATTCATACCAAATCATTTATATCTTGACTGTTAATACTTTCCTATTACAGAAGCAAGGTTGAATAGTCATGTCAAAGACTATATGACCCATGAAAGTGAAAGAAAGAAAATGAAGTCACTTAGTCATGTCTGACTCTTTGCAACCCCATGGACTGTAGCCTGCCAGGCTCCTCCTACATCTGTGGGATTTTCCAGGCAAGAATACTGAAGTGGGTTGCCAATTCCTTCTCTAGGGGATCTTCCTGACCCAGGGATCAAACCCCAGTCTCCCACACTGAAGGCAGACTCTACCATCTGAGCTACCAGGGAAGCCCATATGACCCATGAAGCCTAAAATATTTGCAATCTAACCTTATTTAAGAAAAAGTTTGCCAACTCTTGATGTATAGGAATATGTCTGTGCTTCATACTAAAGCCTTTTATTCTGCATGGTTGTGTGAATATAAGTATGTTTAGGCTTTATTTCTTCTCATCCAAAAAGGAACTGTGGCTACAAGTCTCATAACTCTGAATCTTATACTGTCACCCCAAGACTTCTTCCTAAAAAGATAGTATTTCACAGTGTTTCCTTGCTCAGTCCTGGTTTCCTTGACATAGTTAGGGATGTCAAGTCTCCTGTAATCAGTCTGCACTCCCAAATTTCCATGTTGTAAACATGGGTTAATTAATTCTTCCCTTCAAGGTGGGATGTCCATTTTGACAGTGTCAGCTGTTTGTGCTGCACACAATCAGCATGAACAGTTGTCTTCTCAGAATCCTTTTTCCCCTGTCCCACCCTTCACTGTATTTGTCAACATTAACTCATTATAATTAGGGTTATAGCCACCACCTAGGATCACTGAAGCATCGACGTTTCAATTCTTGTTTGTGTACAGGAAAAGTGATCAAATAGTTTTTTATTCTACCATCTTAAAACGGAGTCTTTTCTGTCACATTTGGTATTTTGATCTTGGTCCTGGACTTCGTCACTTCTACTTGGACAGTACCTTAAAGACCTGATCTTGCCTTCTCCCTCAACCCCTTTTGTTTAATTGAGCTTTTCTGTTTCCCTAAACTGAGGTGACTCAAAAGCTTAAGCCCAGTATATTGTTTTCTACCAAGTCTCTTAACTACCTGCTTTCACAAGAATCTTTCATTTCCTTTATTCTTAGTCTGGCAGAGAGGAAAATGGAGATTATTTTTTCCTCCCTATTTTTGAGCTAAGCAGCCACTGAGTACTGGAAATCTTACCCTTTGGTATGTAGATTTTCATTTATTCTGTTTGAGCCAGTTCCTTATCTCTGAATTCCTCTGCCTGGTGTGTTGGGGTCCTTTAATTGACCGGAACCTGCTAGTCTGGAACCTGCTAGTCTGGAGTCGATAAGAAAGTGAAAGAGAGAGCCGGAGGGAGGGAGGGAGAGAGAAAGAAAAAGAAAGAAAGACATGGGGACCCGTGTGAAAAGAGTCACTGAAGGGAGTTACTGAAAGGAATCCAAGCAGATACCGTTTCTCATGATCTCAGTCCTGAGAGCTGCGTGCAGCTCTACTCATTCCTGGAATAGGAACTGATAAGGAACAGAGAATCCTTGAGAAATGGCACACAAAGGAAGAAAAATGCAACATATTGGATTCCTTAAAGTTAAACGTCCCCTAACATCCTTGATGTAGAGCTCTTCTGCTTATCTTTCTCATGAGAGTAACCTCACATATTCTCTAGAATGGAAGAGTAGTCTTTGTCTTCATTAGTTTATACCTTTTTTATTCTTTGCCTCATTTTCATGTGGTTTTGGGTAGGATCTGAGATAAATTCATATATCAATTAGGCCATATTTAATTTCTCATTATTTGTTTTCCCTTTTGTTCAGTTGTTTAGTTGCTAAGTCATGTCCGACTCTGTTGCAACCCCATGTACTATAGCCTGCTAGGCTCCTCTGTCCATGGGATTTCCCAGGCAAGAATGCTGGAGTGGGTTGCCATTTCCTTCTCCAGGTGATCTTCGTGACCCAGGAATCTAACCTGTGCCTCTTGCGCTAGCAGGCAGATTCTTTACCACTCAGCCACCTGGGAAAGCCCCCTTTTGCTCAGTACTTACTCCCTTTTCAGTCATGCTAGGTAGGTTTTTCTGCTTTTATATTCTGATTATTTTATCCTATTTTAACCTTCCTGTTGTTTGCTCTCATTTTATTAATTACTGTAGTGTTCAGGTGAATTTTTAAAAAATATGTAGTACATGCTTACAATACAGATTTTTTAAAATACAAAAGGATACATATTGAAAACTAATTTTTCTTCTGTTACCCATGCCTTCCTCTATGCTGGCAACCTGTAGTATCATTTTCCTTTGAGCTATTACTTATTTGTATTTTCAAGCATTTTTATTGAAACCACTTTAAGTTGATAGGTTAACTTGTGAATGACTATGATCTCTGCTGTTGAATGTTCTTTTCCAAGAATGTGATATGCCTTTTGTCTTAAGTTTCCTAGGGCTGCTGTAACAAAGTAGAGGCTAGAAATACAAAATCAGGGTATAAGTAGGGCTCATGTTCCTGTTGAAACCTACAGAAGATTCCTTGCATCTTTCAGCTTCTTTTATCCCCAGATGTTCCTTGGCTTATGACAGCATAACTCCAATCTGTGTCTTTAATGTCACATAGTGTTTCCCTGTGTTTCTGTCTCTTCATGTGGCAATCTTCTTTTAAGAAAACCAATCAGATTAGGGGCTTACCCTACTCCAGTGTGACCTCACCTTAACTAATTACATCTGCAGTGACCTTATTTTCAAATAATTTCATGTTCTGAGGCAGTGGGCATTAGGACTTAAACATATTTTATTTTATTTTTTTTACAAAAGTTTATTCTTAAATGTACCATAGGTTCGGACAACACTTCATTCTAGCTATAGGCGGCAATAGATATCATGGCAGGGAATCCAGGTGTTTAAACAGGAATGGAACTCAGAGTCATCATTGCCTCAGGCACAAAGAACAGCTTACTTTTTTGCCAGATTTCTTAATTCCACCAGTGGCCAGGGGGCCTTTCCCCACGGCCTTTGCTTTTAGCTCCTCGAGTTTCCTTCTGCTCTTCCTTCTGCTTCTGCTTGAATGCTTTATCTTCCTCGTCCATCTCCTTGGCTTGCTTCTTGGGCTGCTTCAGGGGCTTCTTCTTGCCACCTTTGTGGCCAAACATGGCGCCTGCCGCCCCTTCCCCCGGACTTAAACATATTTTAAAGGTGGGACACACAACTCAATCCGTAACACTGTTTCATGTGTTCATGTGTGTGCATTTAAAGTTTTACAATTTTTGGAACTTTCTAATTAAATATATTCCCAAATTTTTTGTATTTTTATTATAAATGTAGTCCTTTGTTATCTTTTCTAAAGAGCTTTTTGTATATATGAAAGTAACTAAAACTGAGTATTAATTTGCTATAGTGAACTTAGTGAACTTTCTATAATTTTTCAGGTAACTCTTGATTTTGCAAAGAAAGAGTTTTAATATTGACAAATAATGTAAATTTTTCCTTTCTATGTTGTTTCTGTGTGTGCGGGAGGGTGACCCATGCTGTGCAGCACATGGGTCCCTAGTTCCCCAACCAGGGATCAAACGCATGCCCCCTTCATTGGGAGAGCAGTCTCAACCACTGGACTGCTAGAAAAGTCACCCTTTCCAAGTTTTTTATACCTCATTTCTTTCTCGTATTCAATGCTCTACCCTGAACTATAATAATAGTTGTGATAGTACTCATCTTTTTCTTTTTCCTGATTTTAATGTGACTGCTTTGAGATTTTTCCCATTAGGAATGATATGAAGGTTTAAGTTGTACTGTGATTTTTCTCTAGTTAAATATGTTTCCATTTTATAAAGTTATCTTTATGGAAAAATGGGTGTTGAATTTTTAACATGTTTTTAATATCTTTGGAAATGATTACTTGACTTTTCACTTTTGACCTATTTACTATTACTATTATTTACTTATAGATTTCTCTAATATTGAAACATACTTCTATTCATGGAAAAAAGCAACATATGTATGTCTTATATTTAATATGCTTCCAAGTCACTTTCTTTTCCTTCTCAGTCATTTTGAATACAGAGTTTCACACTGATATTCAAAAATGAAATTGATGTATAGTTTGCTTTTTGGGTTGTCATCTTTATTTGGTATTGGTATTATGTTTGTCTCATACACAAACATTATGAAATATTTTTCTTTCATAATATTTTGTATAGCACATGCTTAACAGCTGTCCTTTAGATAGTTGTTTAAATTCCCATGTAAACATCTATGGGCCTTGTCTATTTGTTTTGTTTGGGGGGATTTCTTTTCATAAATTTATTTGTGGAAATTGGTCTTTTTTTTTTATATACATCTTATAGAGTGAGTTTAGGTAATTTATATTTTCCAGAAATTATTTCTGTCAAGCCATTTATGAAAGTTTATTTCCATAGAAACTTGTAAAATACTTTTATGGTTTTTTAGCTTCCTGTTTTACCTTTTTCTCTATTGATGTTTCTTCATTTGTATATTCTGAATTCCCCCTCTTATTTATCCAACAGTTCTATATTTTTTATTTCAGATCCCTTTAAGCAATCAAAGCTATTTCTATTTCATAAATACCTACCTCTACTCATATTTCCTTTCTTGGGATTTACTGAAGCTTAGGAAATAGGAGCTATATATAAACCTAGAATTTGCTTAATAGGAAATGAGGCTATAAGCTAAGAATCCCATACATGTATTTTTTTTGTTGTTTTTAATTAGGTATAATTTTGGGAAATTTTACAAGTGACATTTATTTGCAATTTCTTTTAGGAGAAATATGGGGGATGGATGAGCAGCTGAAAATTCAGGACAGGCTTTTGACACAACTTGAAGATAAATTCACAGAAACACTGACTGAAGAAAAAGTCAATGAATGTCATAAGAAATTTGCAAATGCATTTCCTCTGAACTCAGACTTTTTTCCTTCCAGTCACAGTGTCTATGAATATGACTTATTTGGAAAGTGTTTAGAACATAGTAATTTCAACTATTATGAGAGAATCTTTATAGGAAGAGAAGACTGTGAATATAAGGAGCCTATGAAATCATTTGGCAATAGCTTATCCCATCTTGTAGTAACCCCCTTTAAGTGTAATCATTGTGGAAAAGGTTTTGATCAAACTTTGGACCTCATCAGACACTTGAGAATTCATACTGGAGAGAAGCCCTATGAATGTAAAAAATGTAGAAAAGCCTTCAGTCACAAGGAAAAACTGATTAAACATCATAAAATTCACAGTAGGGAGCAGTCTTATGAATGTAATGAATGTGGGAAAGCTTTCATTAAAATGTCAAATCTCATTAGACATCAACGAATCCATACTGGAGAGAAACCCTATGCATGTAAGGAGTGTGGGAAATCCTTCAGCCAGAAATCAAATCTAATTGATCATGAAAAAATTCATACTGGAGAGAAACCTTACGAATGTCATGAGTGTGGAAAAGCATTCAGCCAGAAGCAAAGCCTCATTGCACATCAGAAAGTTCATACTGGGGAGAAACCTTATGCATGCAATGAATGTGGTAAAGCCTTCCCACGAATAGCATCTCTTGCTCTTCATATGAGAAGTCATACAGGAGAGAAACCTTATAAATGTGATAAATGTGGAAAAGCCTTCTCTCAGTTTTCCATGCTTATTATACATGTGAGAATTCATACAGGTGAGAAACCCTATGAATGTAATGAATGTGGAAAATCTTTCTCTCAAAGCTCAGCCCTTACTGTACATATGAGAAGTCATACTGGTGAGAAACCTTACGAATGTAAGGAATGTAGAAAAGCCTTCAGCCACAAGAAGAACTTCATTACACACCAAAAGATTCACACTAGAGAGAAACCTTATGAATGTAATGAATGTGGGAAAGCTTTCATTCAGATGTCAAATCTTGTTAGACACCAGAGAATTCACACTGGAGAAAAACCCTATATATGTAAGGAATGTGGCAAAGCCTTTAGCCAGAAATCAAATCTCATTGCTCATGAAAAAATTCATTCTGGAGAGAAACCCTATGAATGTAATGAATGTGGGAAAGCCTTCAGCCAAAAGCAAAACTTTATTACACATCAAAAAGTTCACACTGGAGAGAAACCTTATGACTGTAATGAGTGTGGTAAAGCCTTCTCTCAAATTGCTTCCCTTACTCTTCATCTGAGAAGTCACACAGGGGAAAAGCCTTATGAATGTGATAAATGTGGGAAAGCCTTCTCACAGTGCTCACTACTTAATTTACATATGAGAAGTCATACAGGTGAGAAACCCTATGTATGTAATGAATGTGGAAAAGCTTTCTCTCAAAGAACTTCCCTTATTGTACACATGAGAGGTCATACAGGTGAGAAACCTTATGAATGTAACAAATGTGGAAAAGCCTTCTCCCAAAGTTCCTCCCTTACAATACATATACGAGGTCATACAGGTGAGAAACCCTTTGACTGTAGTAAATGTGGAAAAGCCTTTTCCCAAATCTCATCTCTTACACTTCACATGAGAAAACATACAGGTGAGAAGCCTTATCATTGTAATGAGTGTGGTAAGGCCTTCAGCCAAAAGTCACACCTTGTTAGACACCAGAGAATTCATACTTATTAGAAATAGAAACTTTATAAATCTTGTGAATATGGAAAAAGACTTCAGAAGGAATTCGCATTTTCTTGCACATTATATAATGGGATCTAGAGCAAAAAACTGTGAATGTGGGAAAGCCTTTTTAAGAAGCCACACATTTGTGATACAGAATTCTTACCAAGGGGATAAAATGTATGAGAAAGCTGATCATCAAAAACCTTCAGCAGACATCTTACCTAATGATATTTATTCAGCATTCTCACTAAAATCTGAAACAAGATATTTGCTATCAGCTTGTCAACATGGTACTTGAGCTCCTAGCCATTGCAGAAAAAAGAAATACTTTTAAAATAACCTTTTTTTACTAGACTAGTTAATTAGAAGATATGTTGATATAAAATATTTATAAATAAACATAACAGTGAATTACAACACATATATATGTAGTTAAACATTTTGAAGGTTACAAAAGAACACCTGAAATTTGAGAAAAATAACATTGTCTAAAAAAAACATATATATATATATAATTTCTCACAAATCTCTAAAGTACTTCCACTCAAAGTTTTTTTTTTTTTTTTTTTTTACCAGTTTTTAAGAGTTTCACAAACTGATTGAAATTTTATATAGGAATGTAAAGGGCCACAAATAGGTGAAATACGTAAAAAAAAAAAAAACGAGAGAGAAGATACACCATTAGATACCACATTTATTTAAAGCTGGTATCATTGTTTTTAAACGATGTTCTTAATGAGTAGATCAGTGAAACAAGTTGAAGATTGGAGGAAGGAGATACGGAAATTTTGTGTATTATTGTGCTATTCAAATCACTGGAGAGAAAATGACCTATTCAATAAATGGAAGATTCATATTAACAAAAAATGTTAGCTCTCTACTTTTTATCATATACAAAAATAAAATCCAAACAGACTGAAGACTAGAACATAAAAAGCAAAATTCTATATGATGAAAATAAAATAGACTATATTTACTACTATAGAGTAACAGGATTTCTTTAAACATACATAAATGTGGAACATTCAGTTCTCTTTTGGTGCACTGGCTTCAGAGGCACCCACATATGTCACAGAGATACATATATCTTTATGTTAACTGGTCATGGTTTGTATTCCTCTAAATAGAATACATACATTTCCATTAATAGAGGGATAGAGTGATACAATATGATTTTCTATGATAGAACATAATATTTAAAAATACAAATTTGACATATAATTACATGGATAGACTACATAATATTGACAGAAAAAGCAAAATGTACCATGAACATTTCTATAAATTTAATAAAACAATGCAAAGAACAGTACCGTGTGTTGATCATGGATACATATATGACATTGACTGCCTTTTAGGAAGTGAAGGCAGTTGTTATATTTATCAGCAATATTTCTTTAATAAAAGACAAAGCAAATATGACTAATAATGAATCTGGTTGTCAAAATTATGTTGTAGTTTTTTTTAATTATTATTTCTTGTCTGTATTTTCCTGTTTCTCTAAAATAAGAATGAAGTGGATAGAGAAAACCTGGACCTATATAGATTCTTATTTTTTATCAGATATAACATTTATAGAAAGTTATCTTTAATAATAATACATAAGCCAAACCTGAATTAAGATATTTTGCTTACCACCTGTTAATTAGCATATACAAATCAGAAGTATATAGCATCTGTTTGAAGAGAGCTTTAAATTTTTTCATTTTTTATTTTAAACATGAGTTCCTATTTGAAACCAGTGAAGAAACAAATATTCAGTTGTTGGGATACATTTGGGGAAAAAAGATCACCTGCATTTGGGTTGGTTTCAAACTAGGGGAAAGACCACTCATGCATAATGTAAAATGTTAATGTCGGAACATATCAAGACAAGGATGGTTACTCATATTGGGACAGAAGTTTCAAAGTATTTCAACAAATCTTTCTTTGGCTTCTGAATTTTTAAATGGGAATTCTGATGGTGGTTATTTTTATGTGTCAGGTAAGAGCTCAGTGAATGTGAAAGTTCACTTCCTCCTATACCACACCTGTTTTAGATTAATGCCTTTCAATTTTTTTCTAATTTTTTATTGGCAGATAATTGCTTTACAATATTGTGCTGGCTTCTGCCACAAATGAACTCAAATATTTATAGTACTGAAACGTCTTTCCTCTGAGTCTATTCAGTTCAGTCACTCAGTCATGTCGGACTCTACGACCCCATGGACTGCAGCACACCAGGCTTCCCTGTCCATCACCAACTCCCGGAGCTTGCTCAAACTCATGTCCATCAAGTTGGTGATGCCATCCAACCATCTCATCCTCTGTCATCCCCTTCTCCTGCCTTCAGTCTTCCCCAGCATCAGGGTCTTTTCCAGTGAGTCAGTTCTTCACATCAGGTGGACAAAGTATTGGTAGCTTTAGCATCAGTCATTCAAATGAATATTCAGGACTGATTTCCTTTAGGATTGACTGGTTTGATCTTGCAGTCCAAGGGACTCTCAAGATTCTTCTCCAACACCACAGTTCAAAAGCATCAATTCTTCAGTACGCAGCTTTTTTTATAGTCCAACTCGCATCCATACGTGACTACTGTAAAAACCACAGCTTTGGCTAGATGGGCCTTTGTTGGCAGAGTAATGTCTTTGCTTTTTAATATGCCATCTAGGTTGGTCATAGCTTTTCTTCCAAGAAGAAGAAATTTCATGGCTTTTAATTTCATGACTCCAGTCACCATCTGCAGTGACTTTGGAGCCCAAAATAATGTCTCTGAATAGTTCATATATTTTGTCTTTTTCTACTGGAACTTCCGAAAATACTTTTATTTAGAAATTATTACAGATTTATATAAGTTGAAGAAATAATACCCTAGGCAGGGGTCCCCAACCTTTGGGATCTAATACCTGATGATCTAAGGTGGAGAGGATACAATAATAATAATAGAAATAAAGTGTATGATAAATGTAATGTGTTTGAATCATCCCCAAACCATCTTCTTTCCCCACCACCCACCCCACCTCTGGCCCATGGAAAAATTGTCTTCCGTGAAACTAGTCTCTGGTGCCAAAAAGGTTGGGGACCACTGCCCTAGAGGACTTTTAGTGTGTACCCTATATCTGCATTCCCCTAATGTTAACATTTTACATGACCTATAGTCATATATATATATGTATATACACATATATATATATGGTTATATATCAAATTTGACACTAATTTGGTTCATAGGCCTTATCAGATTTCACTGATTTTGCATGCATTTGTGTGTCTCTTGTTACATACAATTTTATCTAGTGTAAATTTTTGTAATGACCACTACAATCAAAATATAGAACTTGAAACACCACAAATATCACTTATTCTATCCCTTTGTAGTCATACCTTCTTTCCTCCCCTTGCACCCCACTCCTAATCCCTGCCAAACACTATTCTCCATAATTTCACTATACCAGGAGTGTTCTATAAGTGAAATCACTGTATTACCTTTAATATTTATATTTACCTACCTAATTACTATGGAAACTTTTAAGGTTGGCTTTTTTCACTCAACATAATTCTTTTTAGATCAATTCCACTTGTTGCAGGTACAATAATTTGTTCTACTTTGGTCTACAGAGTTCTTAAGTACATTTCTTTGTGTTAATTTTTTAGTAGTTTAGAATTTCTAAGTATTACTTTATACATACATGACTTATCACAGTCTAGTTTCATTAACACTGAACCAGTTCAAAACCTTATTTCCCCCCTTTCATTGTGTGTTATCATAAATATTTCCTCTATATGCCTTAAGAACTACATAAAATAGTGTAGCCATTTTTTATTAAACCATCTAACATAATTGGGAACTCAACATTAAATGTACCCATATGTATACTTTCTGTCCTTTCCTCACTCCTGATATTGAAGAACAGTTCTTAGACCTCCTGACAAATTCTCAGTTTTCCATCATCTGAGCATGTCTTCCTTCATTTCATTCATGAATATTTTTTGCCGGTACAGAGTTCTGGGTTGACAGTTTCTTCAGCACTTGAAAAATGTGCTATGTCCTTCTGAACATCCTGTGTTCTGATTAAAAAAAAATGTTATTTAAGTCACTGTTTCTCTGTAGGTATAGATCATTTCTCACACTGCTTTCAATTTTTGTTTTGTTTTGTTTTTAGTTTTCTGAAGTTGGATTATCATGTGTCTTATAGATTTCTTTGGGTTTATCCTGTTTGGGATTTGCTCAGTTTCTTGAATATGGAGGCTTATATTTATTGCCAAATTTGAGGAGTTTTCTGCCATTATTTCTTTGCATTTCTCTTCAGACTCACACTCTCTCCTTTTCTTCTAGGACTCAGCATATTCTCCCTCTCTTTTGCTCATATTGGGTAATTTCTCTTGTTCCATCTTTAAGTTCACTGATGGTTTCCTCTGTCCTCTCCACTGTGTTCCTGAGCATATCCACCAAGTCTTATTTCTGCTACTGTATTTTTCAGTTAAAATATTTCATTTTGTTCTTTATACCCTCCCTTTGCTAAGATTTCCTACCTTTTTTTCATCTCTTTCAAGTGTGTTCACAATTTGTTCACTGAAGCATTTCTATGATTGCTGTTTTAAATTTGTCGGGTAACTTAAATGCTGCAGTTCAAAAGGTGGCAACATGTTCTTCTTTCAGCTAACACCATAACTAGACAAATTGATGAAATAGCAGAGGATACTGAGGTGCAGCTCTTAGGATTAATGAGTCACTGTGGTACACAATTCAGGTTGACTAGTCTACCAATGTTGACAACAGGCAAAAATACTTGCCTTTGTGAGATATATTTGTCAGGAGGAAGTGTCATGTTATTCAGTTGCTCAGTCGTGTCTGACTCTTTGTGACCCCATGGACTGCAGCATGCCATGCTTCCTGTACTTCACCATCTCCAGGAGCTTGCTCAAACTCATGTCCACTGAGTCTGTGATGCTATTCAACCATCTCGTCTGTTGTCCCCTTTTCCTCCTGACTTCAATCTTTCCCAGCATCAGGGTTTTTTCTAAAGAGC